GAAAGTGGGCGTTGTAATAACGTCTGGCTCCTTCGAGGATTTTTCTACTTTCATTAGAGCCAACTTCAGGTAGGCATTAGATGGGAAAAACTACTCTCGTAATTTCTCTCTCATGCTCACCCTCCTTTTTTTTTTATCTACTCTCTCTCTCTCTCTCTCTCTCTCTCTTTTTTACTTCCTACTCACGAACCAGAGCTGTATTACTCCGAGTGTCTGTACTGACGGTGGTTACGCAATGTCTGAGGAACGTCAAATGAGTTTTTCTTGATTTGTCAACATTGGACTTTAACCTATTTCAAATTCCATCATCCGGCTGCTTCTTGGCTCCCATCTTTGATCTCGAGACGGCGATAAGTTATATGGAGTTATGAAAAATTTTTTGAAAATTTTTAAAAATAAAAAATCAAATCCGATCGATTTATTAGCAATCATAATGTATTCCACGTGCCACAAATATCATCCCCTAATAAAATTTTTTTTCCCAGTCATCGTTGCTCCGAACGATTTATGCAGTATAAAAAATTATAAAATTCTCCATCCAATTCGAAAATCCCACTAGCCCATCCCCTCGTCCTGTATTTTCCGTACGTCAGTGTAACTAGTCCGAAACCGCGGTTGTCTCATTTTGAGCGTATTAAAAATTCGTAAAATTAGGTGTCCTCCAGATGACACCCCTACGTAGGGTGCGCAAACGAAAAATGAAAAAGGGTGAAATAAGCGGTCGGTCGAATGACTGACTAAGTAGACAAGCGGGGCACGTGCACGTGTCACCAGGACGTCTCAACACGCCGTGTAATACATATGGACCAAATGATTGTTCGTATAAAATTTCAAAGTCTCAAATTAAAAAATTCACATATATAGGATACCCATTAATTTTTTTCAACTTGAAATAAAGTGTTAAGAAGATCGAATCAAAGTAGGTACAAGGGTAGTTTCCGACTGTATAGTCAAGAGATGGTATAAATCCTTTCAAAGGACGACCCTGCTCTCCCCCCCCCTCGTCCCCTGACCCTCTTTCAAGTCGATTTACAATCCAACATTGAAAAGTTCATCGATCCTTCTCCAAGGGTTGTAGCCGCCTCCAAGGGCAAAGTTTCTTACAGCATCCCCTTAGAGGGCTTTGCGAGGGTCAAATCCACTAGGCTGGACCAACCCTCCAGGAGGAAAGCGCATTTCGACAGAGTCCTGATGCCCGGCGAACGAGACCCTCGATAAGAAATTTCGAGTATGGTTTCACCCCTTTGGGTTTCATTTGTCAATTTTATTGGGATTGAGGAAAAAAAAATTTTTTTCATCCCTTCAACTTCTTTAACGTTGACGCTTTGCCCAAGACGCCGTCTTAACGTGAGTCGAGTGTTCCTTTTTGCCGAGAAAAAAAAATCGGCCACAGCTCGGCAACTTCGGACTGTATCTCGAACGCCAAGATGCAACTGCCCGTGACTGAATTCACTCACGGTACCTTGCACCCCCTCCCGCCGCCCCCCCCTTTCTCGTTTCGTTTCTCACTTAACTGCTTTACCCCAAAGACCCTTTTCTCTTTCTTCCGTACTCTTCGTCTCTCTCACTCTCATCTAGCGTCTACCAAGGCTGGCTCTCCCTTTCTCCTTATGTCCCTTCAGTCAACCCCCATTACCTAGGAAATCTCTTATATATACACAATCCACCCTACTTCGGAGCTGGGGCTTTGCTTTGTCGTATTTTTTAGGGCTGTTATTACACTGTCGATCCCTTACCTCGTTGTCGCTGCGATACTCGCGGATTAAGATCGGACGAGTTTTATATTATTATCGGGCAAAATACGTATTTTGAACTATTTAATGCGGGGCTTTCTGTAAATTTAAAATCCACAGTGAGAAAACCGCAGTAAGATCTTTACGGTCGTCCTGGATCGTATAGAGAAACCGTAAAAATGGCAGGTATCCACAAAAGCGACAAGTGGCTGTAAAGTCGTAAGCGGTCTGAGAACGTCGACGTTAAAACGGCAAATCCTGACGAGGTTCGCACTTTGCAGTGTTGGCTATTCTGAATCAACACTATAGATAGACAGATAAGCTCCCCACGTGACGGATTTATAGAAGTAGTTCCTTTCATAGGGGATGTTGGGTGGGTGGGGAGTGGGTGTTAAAAATAGTGCCAGCCACCGCCCGTTGATGAGAAGAAGGTGAAAGGAAGAGCCGAGAAAAGAAAGCGAGGAGAAAGGGGAGAAAAATTTAAAAAAATAAGAACCCAGGGTCGCTACTCATTCAAGGGTGAAACTACTGTATCTACAGGGTGATACGTTAGTAAATAAAATCTGGAGGGGTTCGTCAGGGTCTTTTGAATATTTAATCGAAAAAATATGAAGATAACCTGTAAAATGATAAGCAGGTGAATTAATGGGGGGACTGATAAAAGTTAGGGGTCGTTATTTGGCTTTGTTTCGAAAACCTTTTTTATTTGCGAATATTGCGATTTTAATTTTTAATAAGGGTTGGATTTTTTGGGGATTTTTTTTCTGTTGTACAGACTGCTTTTTTGCTAGAAATAATGCTTGCGTTATATTTCGGCTGAGTGTGGATGCTGATATTTATTTATAGGGGTGGATCGGGCTGGTATAGGTATGATGGCTATATTAACGCGGTTGGGGGTTGAAAATCAATTAGAGGGTTGTTGAATTATTTTATCGTTTTGCGGGGCTGACGTCGATACAGGCGACAATCGATCACTCTACCCTCTGGTGGAGCTTGTGTTTAATGGGAGTTTCTGTTTTACCGACAGAGGATGGATTTTAACGCCAACCTAGCGGCAGGAAGGCTGCGCTGAAGGATTTACCGATGTTCAAAGTCACTTCGTGAGTTACCGACTGTTGAATAAGCGAGATATCAATTTTGTATTTATTACTTGCTAGTGGCAGTTACTCTCGGTACTGTGTACTCGGCCTACGGAAAGCGGCAATGATGGGTATTAATGGATATGAAAACACGACCAGCCTGGTTTAGTGTGGCCTGTAATTAGAGAACTACTCTGCAGAGTGATTAAAAAAAAGGGGGTAAATTAATTCATCCTCTCGAAGCCCGCAGCTCTCGATGGTGTCGTTGGGAATTGGGGGGTGGAAAAAAAATGAAAAAAAATAAAGTGTGAAAGAGGAAATTTTAACTTTTTTCATTTTTCATTCCCCCAGCACGGACGATAGGGGTGGTCTTTGATGACGTTGCACTATATTGAAAAATGAAAAAAAAAGTGACGTTGGATTTATATGTATATTATTTTTAATCCTTTATCTCGTTACACTATTAATATAGAAATTTTAAACGGCCAACGGGCGCGCACGCCATTGATATTTAAAACGTCTGTAATGAAACCCCGCAAATTTAATGGTAATATCGAGTCGCGATAATTAAAAAGTTTTCGCAGCTGCGCCTGTGTGGTAAAAAGAAGGGCGAAATCTTGTTACACAAAATTTCTTATTAAGATTCAAGCTCGAAATATTCCGAGCCCTATTATCTCCGGGATAATAATTTTATTGTTATTATATTTGACACTCATTAGATATGCATTAATATCTGCGCAATGCGACCCCTGTATTTGGACTAGTTCAAGAAATTAGAGGGGGTAGTAAAATTTAATTAGAAAAATTACCCCCGAAATGTTTGCAGGACGAGTAAATGATAATTTTGAAAAATTTCCTTAAAACAAAAATCTCACTAATATCAAACGTCACAGAGATCGTTGGTAACACTGAAAATCCAATTTAAAAAAGATTTTGACAACTCCTTTAGTATTTCAAAAAAGAACAAAAAAAAATACGAAGATACGTACCAAGAAAATTTTGATAAAAAAGAAATTAACCAATATTACCATAGCAATGTCCTTGTACCATAAAACCCAAAAAAAAGAGAGAACTTTCTAGTACCTATCCCTCCACACCAAAAATTTGGTAAAAAATCCAAAATTCAACTCTTAAACCCCCTACATGGATTTTCACCTCGACCAAAAGATTCTAAAAAAAAAACCTTATAATAATTAATTAAAAATTCATCAGAGTCATCGACCGATCAAAGTCGCGCACTTTTTGTCTCACCCATTTGCCATAAATCGTCTGGTGCGTCTCAAAAAAACCGCGGCTGCCTTCGTTGGGCGGCCATCTTTAAATTGGGGCCTCTTGTAACGAAGCAGCAAAGAAGGCCAGTTCTTGTCTCTAGAAAAAAGTATGTGTCTTTTGCAGGTCAGCCAGGCCCTTGCCATGCGATGTCGTTGCAGAGCCCCAGACTTCGACACTACAGGTCGAATATAACAAATTCAGATAATCTTATCTCAAAATAAATCTGCTAAAAGTTCTCTCGCCTCTCGTTTTACATGCGTACTACTTATACATTACATTACGTTATACTATGTACATTTATCACATGTCGATAACCCCATCTACGAATTCTCTGCATCCACGCTTTTGGAATGACATTCATCGGCTCTACGTAAAATAAATGAAGACATTTTGGAAAAAAAAAAATCATACTTTCAATGACATCAGACTTTAGTTTCTCACTTTCTCTGTTTCTCTCTCGCTCTATTATCACTCTCTCTCTCTCTCTATATATATATACTACTTCTATACATATATCTATCTCTCTTCATACTACGTATCGTCTGGCATAATTCGAGTTTACATTAGCAATCAGTTTTCGTAATTAAGATCATCGTAATTTTTATGGTTCTTGGTATCAATGTGGTTTCGATGGTAATTTTTGTATGAGACTTTTTTCTTTATGGTTTTATACCGTTTGTAGATGGTCTTTTGTTGTTAGGTTAATTTTTCGAAAAAAAAAAATAACACGAAACCATCATTGAACCAAGTCGTCATCTTGAGTCGCTCTGTTGGCATGGCCCTAGTTCACCTACTTTAATTCGTAAGATGCACCCTTCTTCTATTCCTTGTAACCGAGTCGAGCAATTAATTACACCGGATCGATGTACCTGGTGACGAGTTTTTTATGGAAATTCTTTTTTATTTTCATTTTCAGGACCATGACAGCGATCTGCTTCGTGTGCAATCTACCGATTCTCAGTCATCAGGTGGAATTGATATGGCAAGGTGGAAATGGCTGGGACGATCTCGTTCGGGAGCAAGTGGAGGAGTCAACTCTGAAACAGCGTTTAGGTGGGTTTAAGAGAAATTGAATTTTCCATTAAAAGTTTTAATAAAAATTTTACCACGTAAATTTTTCTTTAGGCGCTGGAAGGAGAGACTCGGCAGCTCAGATAACCTCAATCTCACCGCCGAACGAGATCCAGGACTCCTCGCCGACGAATCAGCGTCGCCGTCGCTCGAGTCTTGCCCAGCTGACGGACATCCTGCGGGAATGGGGCGGTGGTGGAACTTCTGGAAAGAGCGGCAAGGGCGGTAAGCTCTGTCGCAGGGAGACCCTGGCGGACATAGCCAAATCGTTACCCTGGTCACGACAACAGACAACCGACGCCAGCCACTTGGCAAGCCTGAAGAAGCGTCGCGAGAGTTCGGTGGACAGCGGTATCAGGAGTCAGGTGTCATCAAGGTCGAGACGAGATTCCGCCATTAGCGACTTCAAGAACGACCTCGTGCGTCTTTGGGGTAAGAAGGATGTCACCCAACCGCCACAGCCACCACCGACGGTTATATCGCCAACCACTAGGAGAGGTAAACTTTACCATCAGTAGGTAAATGAGTTTCCTACCCTCCCCGGATAACTTTACTACGTGTAAAAGAATTTGCACGGGTACTTGGTAAACCGCAGAGAACCTTAGCACAGGACAAGAATTTCAAGTGTCCTAAGAGGATGGAATTTTGGTTCTGTCCCTTGGGATCCTCTGAAGTTTCTTTTATCCCCAATAACGTCCTTGTGAACTTTTAGGCTCTGGAGAATCCGCCAGGAATTCACGACGTGGTTCTGGGGAAAGTGCAAAGTCCAGGAGGGACTCGGTCGTCGGAGGTCAGACCCCTAGTCCTGGTGAACGGAAGCACAACTGCAGACACCACAGACGTAAACAGTCTCAGCAGTCAGTCGAAGGTGGCGGAGTGACGCCTACTAAGTATTACAGAAGCGATCAGAGACCTAGTGCTTCCAGTACCGATAGTGCTGCGAGCTGTGCTGTCAGGTATTAAAATTGTACGAATTTTAATCATCAAAATATGAATATATAAGTAAAACTAAGTCTCAGTATTCTTCTAGGGAACATCTGGAGGCACAGAGAAGCCAGGCAGAGAAGAATGAAAGATCCGGTAGCGGCGTTGAAGCAAGAACTCAAACGACCACTCTGACAGTAGATACTAAGAGTACACTGTCAGACAGTAAAAATCTCACTCTGGATGCTGCAATAAATCCTCCCACTATAGTAATGTCTTCCGTGACACCGCCGATAGTATCACCGATGACAGGAAGTAGTCTTCCGCTTCCAGGAGCATCTACGTCAGGTAGTTCGAGTCCTGTTGGCTCGCCAAACATCAGCAGCACCCCGGCATATCCACTGCTTGGTTCACGCCGTGATTCTACGACCCAGGTACCACTGATTGTGACAATAATAATCAGACGAATCTGTTTAATTTTGAAAGATGTCTATAAGCACTTTTTTTATAGTCTGAGTCAAGCTAATTGATAATTGACCTTTTTTTTAGTGTTATTACAAGGGCAAGGAAGCGTCACCAAGTAAGTTGTCGAGGTTAACCAGGCAGGCAGCAGCAATAGATGAATCTTTGCCACCGACCGGACGTCGCGGAAGTCAACCCACCTTGTCACCGGATCCTGATGACGGAGGTACCACTCGTCCTAATTAGATTGCAGCATGTAACGAAATATCCATCGATTCTCTCGAGCTAGAAATCCTCTTTCTCTCGTATCACGTTGGCTTTTAGCCAAGTGACCGAATTAGCCACGTGATCAAGTTACTACCGACTCGGTGACTTCCCTTCTTGCCGGCTGATCAGGAATTATCGTCCGGCGGGTCTGCCTGATAAGTAAAAGGCGGGTGATCCTTTTCATTTTTCTATTGTGCGAAGGTCGCAAGGCGAGGAGGGATTCCTTGAGCCCGGATTCCGCCTCTTATCCAAGGAGACGAGACTCCAAGAGCCATTTGAGCCCGGACAGGAATGCTGAAAAAAGGGATATCAGTCCAATAAGACAGAAAAAGGCTCGACTTAGAAGACAGTCCACGTCTATTGCCTGTGGACGTCCACCAAGGTGGGTCAAGGATAATAAAAAAAAAAATGTAATCTCTAATTCAGACATTTCTATGTAAAGTATTCAGAAATCTCTTTAAAAAGAATGTCACATTATCTTCGAGTACAGGAACTCAAAATTCGTGTCTGAATTTGGTCTCCTTTATATGTTTTGGAGATAATGGCTCCCTGTAGGCGAATCTACCCTTTTATATATTTTTATTTCTATATATATATCTGCTATATCTCTAACAGATATATAAATAAAAATGTTTAAACAATTTTTAAGGCTGTGTATTATAATCTATTCGCAGTCAATTATTTTAAACGACCCCAATATACCATATAAATATCCCCTGGGACGTAAAGGGGTATACTCAAATTAACTTTTAAATTTAATATCCACAGGTCCCCAGACAGTTCATCCTGTTCATCAAGAGATCCCAGTCCGTGTGCTAGAGCGCCAGGAAGTATCCAACATGCACCAATAATAAGAAGACAATCAACAACAGAAGAGATTCTAATAGCACGTGGCTTCCGGCGACAAAGCACCACGGAAGAGATGATAAGATGTCGGAATTTTCGGAGACAAAGTTCACAGAGCGACGACACGGTACGATTAAATAAGTATCAAGCTTATATTCCATACTCTTTGGTAGTTTTTCTCTTTTTCTTTTAAATTCAGTCCCAAGTACAAACTGTCTATCCACTGAACTTTTATTTCCATGGGAATATTTTCAGGTTCAAAGGTACCGAGGTAGACGCGACAGCTCGGCTCAAATAACTGACGGTACATTCGCAACAATGACAGTGGAGACAACAAGTACCTTTTTCGACAGTAGTACACAAACTGGTGAGTAATCATCAATAACCCTATAACCACAAAGTCTCTATATGCTGGTCCATTAATGCATTGAATATAGGTCAGCATCTTGCGAAGAGAAGTTCTCTCGAATACTATCAACCCGTTTATCACTCCTATGATATCTGATATGACAGAATCAATAACTTCCAAGGACCATCGTGAGATTTCAATTGAAAATCACCTGACAGAATAAATCCCATTGATATTCATACTTCAGTTCTTTCGATTACAGTATCCGCTTTGATATTCCATAAAACTCTCATGAAATCCACTTATGACAAAAAGATGGATAATTCCAAAAATGCATTATCAGTCAAACGGCATCAGATTTCACAATAGCCAAAACCTGCCCTACAAAAAAATAATTAAAATGACAAAGACCCGTGTGCCATTAATCCAATAGCACAGTCCAACACTTGACTTTTGATGTGAAGAATCAAACGATAGATTAATTATTATTTTCCACAGTGTCAAGATAATACGCGCACCGTCTATCGGTATTGCAGTTATCTCTCTTTATCAAAATTTGAATTTTCCACGGACGGTCAATAGCATGCGCCTCCTGGTTTTCCCAAATCCAATAAACAGTCTTAAACCGGTGCAAGCGCACAGGGTTCTTATGCGTTAGGTGAACCGCGTCGAGTGCGCATGCGCAAAGCGTCGGAATAGTTCGAGCAGAGTAAGACAGGGTGCATCTTAGTCGATAGGCGACAACAGAGATCACAGCCCTTCTGTCAGCACGAAGGATCCTGTCAAAAAGCAGCCGCGAGACTTGATATTAATTGATAACGCGAGTATCGCGTGTCGCTTAATACTCGCGATAATTAATAAGAAATAAATCAAATGGAAAATGGCAGGCCGGCATTCTTGTGCCAAGAGACAAGAGACTCTCGCTAAGGAAGAAGAGACGATTAATTAAAAGGATATCGTTAAATACTTTGTTAATCCGATGTCCCGGGGCGTCGGTTAATTCGACGCTCTGTTATCAACGTCGAGTCTTCCGTGCAGTGTGTGAGTGTGTTGTGGGTGATAATGCAAAGGAGTGCATTGTGCTTGAACGTATATACGAGTGGGTGGATTAACGTGAACCTCATTAAAATTGAAAAACAATTATAGAAAGATTACAGTAAATACGTAGCCGTCGTACTAATCGTCACGATGCCCTGAAACGTTGGTATCTCTAGGATTAAATTCTGCCTGTTAATTCATGTGTCTTTTTTCTTTTCTTTCTCTTGCTGCTTCTTACCGTCATCCCTCCAGGTACTGTTTATACTGTGTCGGTTGGGATCAATGGTGTAACGATTTCTGATTTATCGTGTATCTTTATTTACTGCGTGACGGTTGGGTTATGGTGATTTTTTTACGGGGATGCCAACAAGAGTCAAAACTATGTCCATGGTGTCACTTCGATTTTTCATTAGGGCATATCATGGGTGGTGCCCTTCCTGAATATTTCATTCAACAGGCGTGCTGATTTTTGACCTCGATACAATTGGCTACGGTGCTTAGAGGAATGCGCGCGCTATTTAGTTTCTTTAAGTTTTACTTTGATTTACTTTGCTCTCACGTTGTTTGGCTGCGTGTTGGCTTACGATTTGTGTACCCTAGATGTATATACGTGTATACGAGAGTATTCCAAGTGCACACGGTCGGGCGCAACCACTTGTGGAGGCTGCAAGAAAAAAAAGAAGTAAAGCTGGAAAATGGCCAGACGTGTTTTTACCTTACTGAGCAACAACAAGTATAATTACAGTGATCTTTCGTTGTAAGCTCTGATATTTAATTGATTATGTATACTTCATGTGAATACGTGCTCGCGTGTCTGACGCTTTGTCCTGTTTGTTTCATTCAAGCGGTAGGGCTGCCAATTTTTTTAGGCACTAAAAAAAATACTATTTTCACTAACCATTGTGGGTTCACAAGAGTTTTAGGTTTGGATTCGTTTTAAATTTGAAAATTTATTCTCTCTATTGATTAGCTGATCGTACGATGAAAAAATTAATCCGGGCGGAAACTTTGCGTGATTTTTTAATACCCGTTCAGATATTTTTACTTGATTTGGTATATATGTTTCTTTCTATATTCGTAAAAAATGTCATTTTCCGCAACCCACAATTACCCGCACCATTTCCACCATATATCTACTATGTATAGAGTATACCCTGTACTTTTCTTCCAGTAAAAGGCTACAAACAATTTCCCGCTGACGATAATTGCGCATAAAATCATTTCGGTCGTAACTAGGACAAGTCGTTCTCTGTCGCTCGATGAGAATGCAGAGAACCGAAACGGAATGTCTAGACACTTTCCGCACGACTAAAGTCAAGAATAAAGGAAATATGGAAAGCGAGGGAAAATAGTTTTTCACGTTTACGTACAAACACAAAGGCCAAACTTCGTTTTCACGTGAACGACGTAGAGCAAAGCTACAAAGAAAATAGCCGCGTTATTATTATTTTTTTTCTTCCATAGCCACGACGTCAAACGATTCGCGAACACGGCTTGCATAAGTATGTAAATTTCCAGCTATATCCCGTTCTTGATAAGAGCCTTAAGGGATGATAAGAACGTATAAAATCGTTGATAACAACAGGGCAGGGGTTAAGGGTAGAAAAATTCGAAAAATTCATAGAAATAAAACGAAAAGATAAATAGCTCATTCTACATTCTTTTTTCTTACTTATCACTTACGTTCCTACGCGTATAGTCCGTTTGTGATAACTGCCAATAAATCTATATCCTCTTAGCGTCAATCCAATAGATTTTTATCAGTACGTATACAATGGCTATAGCCTCGCTGCAACTACTGGCGAACTCGTTCTTAACGGTGTAATGGCGCGGGCCAAAGTTCAACTCGGTGGAATTACCGTGAGCCTTCAAAAGAAATTCAATTTCGTTCCCAATCGCGTTATCCATTTAATCCCTGTTGACGTACACGGCTTAATAGAGTTTTCATCGAAAAAAAATATTAATCGAATTCCTTCCACGTGATCGCACGAGGATCTTTTTATCATCCCTTGAGATTTCTCGTAACTATCGATCCGATCTAACGACATTAATATTGTCTCCAAAAAATTATTTTATACCACAATTTTTTTTTCCTTTTTCGTATCGCAGATTAAGTTCACGATACAAAGTCATAAATTAAAATTATAATTGTATACGTCTTTTCAAGTACCTACTGGATGCTATAAAATTATAATTATTCCACCGACCTAATAATTACCTAATAACAGCATCGTTATGTCATCCCGATTAAAATAAATAGCAGACTAATATTTATTATCAAAAAATAAAAAAAAAACAAAGTCAAATACGCCCATTTAATTACGTATAGAAAAAAAAAAGGTCTGTAATACACAAGGGACGATAATAATCCCCAATTAAACTCGTTAGTCAATCCGAAGCTCCGTGCGTCATTGAAAATTGTCTTTATCCCCTCCCCCAACAAGGATACAAAATGATGTAAGGAATTATCACCCCCCCCTAATATCAAAATTTTCAATTTGCACCCCTCAGTAAAAAATTGATTCGGTTTATCGGTCTTGGTTAGGATGAAAATTGAACGATAATCCAGTCGCAGTGTTCATGGCGGATGAAGCTTATCAAAAAGTCTTATCAATCAGCGTCTCCTTACGCGTCAACGTGACCGACCTTCATTTTTTTTTCCATACCCGGGATTACGTTTTTCTATTTTTCTTATTTTCTTTCTCTCTTCTACCTCCGCCTTTCAGGATATCACGCGAGCGATTCAACGTCATAAATATGTATCAGGAGCGATCATGAGGAGCAGCGATTTATTCATGCCCGGAACACTTGGAAGAGCGAATGAGTAGTGAGGTTTCTCAGGCGCAGCTATATCTATGTATAATGATATAAGCTGCAGTACGTAAGGAGGTAACAGTTTTAAATAACTCGTAGGAAAATTCTCGCTAACGACTTTCCAGCAGGAATCGACTGAGTAAACTTCCCGCGGGATAGATCGATCGTTGGTAAAGATTTAATTCCCGTGGGAACGTGCAGGCGGCGTACGTTGCACGTGCACGTTGGAAATATGTAGTATACGCTCCAAGTAGATTATATAGGACTGTACGTATGGTACTCCATGTGCATATACGCAGAGACGTGCCAGGGAGCGCAATTACGGCTCATTTCAATTCGGTCGGAATGAACTAGGCAGTTCTTGTCGGAAGTCAGGACAGTCTGGATCTGTGAGGATTTCCCTTCTTCCTTTATATCAAAATTCCTGAGGGCACGTGATGGAATTTTCATAGTCCCCGGAGGACATAGCAGCATTCGCGTGGAGTATTCTGAATGATTATAGGAAGAGGAGGATGGAGGGGGTGGACCAGGAGGGGAAAAAAAAGAAGGAAATTATTCTTGGAACATCGTACGGTGGTATCGAGGAATTTGGATTTAATTTTTTTTTTATCTCTTGCAGAACCGTCGCCGCTTTATGACAACAATCACTATCACGAGGAGTGCCTGAGATGCAATAGCTGCGGGCTAAACTTGACCGGACCCAATCAGAAACGAGCAAGACGGTGAGTGGTGTTGCGATGGAAGAAAAATTGTAAATTTTTCAAATTTAGGATTTACGAGGGAATTTTTTGTGATTTTTTTTTCTTTTTTCTTCAGATTCAAAAATCACATACTCTGCGATCTGCACTTTGCGGACGTGGCGCTCATGGAGTGCTCGGACTTCATGCAGCAGTTGCGCAGCTTCAAGCCACAAAGTTTAGGCTGCGCAGTTGCACGAAGAAAATCATCTACGACGCTGATCTTCCCGCTGCCGCCTCAAGCGTGCTCAGGTGAGTCGACTGTTGGGCCAGGTGGGTGGTGTCACTCGGTCGACCTGGAGAAGCTTCGTTGGGGAGTCATTCGTCAGGATCGTCTTGGTGGTGGAGGATCTGTGAAGAAGAGGATAGGAGCGTGTGGGGTATAAGCCACGGGCGGTTCACTCTAAGTTCGAATACCAAGCCCTGTCTGAAAATAGCTTGGTGTTCTACCTTACAGTGAATCGAGCGTAGCCATGTCGTCGTCCGTCTTAAAGGATCAAGGTGGAAGCAAGATAAAGGAAGGATGAGGTGGTAGGATTAATGAAGAAGCGAATGGAGCGAAAGGGAAAGGACGGAAGGTGACAAAGAAGAGGGAAAACAATGAAGAAGAAAGGGCCAGAAGAGAATACTGGATTAAAAGAAAAGGAAAATAAATTATTTATAATACGTGCCTAAGTGGATAGATGGTATCTAATGGAATGAGAGTCGGCCGGTCTTGAAAAGACACCTAAACATTTTCTCTTGGGCTCCTACGAATCTCATCCCGACTAACGTAATGGGATCCTCCAGCTTGAAAGCTGCTCAATACTTTTACAGGAAGTGTCTGCCGTTGAGCGACACTTCATCCACTTCCCAAACAAACTCGTCCTGGCTGGCGTCAATCGACCTGGTTCTCCCGACCTCTTTAAAAGTTCTACATCTAGATCAGGATACCGTGGACGTAAAGACTAAGTACACTTATTTCCTTGCAGATGAGTTCTGTCAAGAGTTTCCCCACAACCTCATACCAACTCCAGGCTATTGGATTGAGTGTTCACGGCAGCAAATTGCCTCGGATACGATCTGGGACGAGAGCGAGAGTGATAGAGAGGCTACCGATCCGGAACAGGCGGAGGAGCAACAGGAACCCACGATCAGGCAGCAGCGACGGGATTTATGTCTCTTTGAGGAAAACGAAGTTGACTTCGATGACGCACCCAGGAAGAAGACCACGATCGAGGAACAGTTTGAGAAGAATCAAGGCTTTGAGCTGACCTCTGTCGAGCAGGAGACCTATGAGAAATATTTTTATGGTTCTGAGCATTGGAATTACTTCACCAACGACGAGGATCTTGGTCCTGTTATACTTAGTATCAAACAAGAGACTATTAATGGCCGTGATCAGTTCAGGATACTTGTTAGGGCTATTAGCTATACGGTGCATGGTCTGATACCAGCCAGCTGTGTATTCGCAGACAGGTACGTACCTCAAAATTGACTTGATTAAACAATTTTATATTTATACAGTGATCGACCTTTAAATAACTTCATTCTAGGTATAATCGTGAAGAGGTGGTGAGAAGTTTAGGCAAGGAAGTGAATATAAACCCCCCACTCACCCTGGGACAATTGCCAGACACTCCTGAGGAACTTCTCAAGCTGGATCAAGTGTTCATAAAGTCAGAGTTGAAAGTTGGTGTCATCTATGTACAGGAGGGACAGTACAGCGAAGAAGAGATACTCGATAATAATGATAACTCGCCCCTCTTTGAGGAGTTTCTTCAAATACTTGGGGAAAAGGTTCGGCTCAAGGGTTTCGATAAGTACAAGGGTGGCCTGGACACAGTTCACGACCTCACGGGACTCTACTCTGTCTATACAAACTGGCGAGGAATTGAAATTATGTTTCACGTCTCTACCCTGCTTCCCTATGAGAAGCATGATCCCCAGAAGGTCAGTACTGTGCAAATCGTCTCCTAGAACAATTTTCTATGTCTTCGTTTGACACCATAATCATTACGGTACTTGTGACGTTACTTTAGCTCCAGAGGAAGAGACACATCGGTAATGATATTGTATGCGTCGTCTTTCTGGAAGCTGACAACACCAGCTTCAGTCCAGCGTGTATCAAGTCCCACTTCCTTCACACATTTATCCTGGTGCGAGTCAGTCCACGAATTAAGAGGAAAATTGCCAGGTACGAAGTCTCAGTGGTCACTAGGGATGAGGTCGGTGCCTACAAACCGTATCTATGGGAGCAGAGCATCTTTGAGAAAGGTAAGGACGATCCTGAAGGTTAGACTTCAGTAATCTGTTAATAATTAAGATCGTAACGATACATGAAATCTAGGACCCATGTTTCGCGAATGGATCCTGACAAAGATTGTCAATGGGGAACGCGCGAGTTACTCGGCGCCAAAATTCGCTAGGATGCAGGAGAGAACCAGGAGTCAGATGCTCGAGGATATCGTTGCTAATTTAGCTAATCATGCTGAGACTGGTCAAATTCCAAAACCATACAGGTGAGAGGATATCCTCTGAAACGGTGACAAATATTTATAACATTTATATGCAACCGATCAAACTTGTTCCTCGTAGACGAGGTTCCTGGAGACCCATAGGACACATGAGACCGTCCTCACCTTTGTTGGATTCCGTGCGAGATCAGTTTGAGGACTATGATCAACTGGCCAAGGACTTCACTAGGGTATTCTTAAATAATGTAGCCAACGTGACACTAAACGCGAGTCTTTTCGACGTGTCCTTCCTGGTACCTGGTCAGCAGAAACAAAAAGTCAGATTCATCGGCGTTCGAGCGATCCTGGGTGTAAGAAGCAGGTACCAGGAATTCAATTACTTGAAGTAAAGATACCTAATTAAGATACAATTGAGATTTTAATGACATTAACGTATCGTGCAAACAATTTTTCTATACAGGGTCTTTCAAGAAATGTTGTATGGAATACAAACGGGTTTTGGAAGTCCTCAGGTACCGGTCGCGGAATTACTCGCAAGACCAGTACCCACATTGCTCAGTCCTCAGAAGCCAAGAAGTTCTAATTTTCTTCAAGTTCCTGATATGGAAAGTCCTAGGTACGCCGAAGAGACATGCTCAAGTTCAACAGTAGAGTCTGTCAGTGAATACACATTTCAGGTTTCCTTTGAAGTCTCAAAAAGATAAATACTGAAGATAACACGAACGCGTGCCCCTCTTATATTCTCGATTCACAGTAATTTGCTTTAATTTCATTTAAAGAGCATAAAGTAGAATTCATCTACATGATACTTGGGCATTCTCACGCTTGATGAAATTCCTTCGTTATTTACAATTTCTTTGGATCTTTCCTTTCGTTTTGCTATAAAGAAAATGGTTTTTCAATATCACTTCAAAGCCTTCCGCTTCTTGTCTTTCTAAGGAAACCTGGAAACTCACTGAAGACTCACGTAACTCTCGACTTGGCAGAGTTAACAAAGTCAAATAGAAATTAAATTTCTCTCCAAATTGAAATACCTGTGTACGTCCATTTATGTACAATTTATCTACGTACATATATGTATCTACGTGTAAATTCTTTCTTATGGTGAGACTCGATAGCCTGCTTTATTAATGTTTTATACATCTTAATGGTAAATTCGTTGTATTTCTCACGGCACATCCATGTCTCCTATCCTCACGGCACCGCATGACCTTTTTTTGGTCTCCATTTTTGGTACACTTTTCTTTTTTATACAATATACAGACAAAAAATATCTACAATATCCGACATAATCGTTGGACCTTATTGATAATGAAGTAAAGCATGTTTTTTTGTTTTTTTCTTTCTATTAAAATATAAAATCGAGCCTATCCGGTTTTCGTATTTGGTGCCTGATCTTAAAAAAGAAAATGTTTTTTGCATACTTGAATGTTTCCTAAGAATTTTTTCGTTCAATATTTCTGGCTTTTTTCGGCAAGCTGCCACGGCAGCCTTGTATTTTTTATTGCTGAATCGATTGTGTGATGGAAAGTGTCGATTGACATGCAAATTTTTATGGTACCTACGTTGTTATTTCGAATATCGTTGTTGTTTTTTTAATTATATATTTATATATACTCTTACGGTGGATAAGCACGATGATACTAAATTTCTGCGTAATTTTCCATTATCCGTTACAAGATGAATTAGCGATAAACGGAAATTGTAAGATCTTATAAAAAGAAAGGTATTTATACAAAAAATTTACAGTCTCATGTATGCTCCACAAAATTTTTCATTTCTTTACTCACGCACGTTTATGAACTATTCGAATATTGGCAGTAAGCTTTTGACGTTGTCGTTTTTTTTTTTTCAAAAATAAATTACAAAACTTTTTTTCCCCCATGTATAAACCCAAGATCGTCTTCCGGTCCGTTCCCGAAGGAATCCAGTGTTCCAGCAAAGATCCAATTTTTGTATTTCAAAAAATTCTCTGAACGTCCTCCCGAAACCCGAGGTGCCACCCTGCGGTTTCTGTGAGATACTGGCTCTGATGTGTTTAGGCCCAAAAGTGTGCCCTCATCCCCAATGGTAAAACGGGCGTTTTCGCGACTCGGGACCATAACAGCCGGTTGGGGCCGAAGTATCCGTAAGCACGGAAGCGGAAACACCTTGCAGACGGAAGATAGGAAGCGATGGGCAAGCTCACAAGATTGCAGCAGTTAGTAGAAAGAAATTCGTTGAAAAAAAAAAAAAAAAAAATAAAAAAAAATGATCCAGAAAAATCAGATAAATTAATGATCTTTCTCTCGACAGATAAAGAAGGTAAGGATAAGGACAGAGCTGCTCAATCACTGGCTGTACCAAGACTCAGCGTCTGCGCCGACGCCCAGAAGGTAGACAGAGCGAAACTTGCTCAAACCGAGGTAAAAGATAATTTGAATAAAATGATTAAAAAAAAAAAATCTTATCGCACTCCCTAATTGATCTCTTAATTACAGTTCGACATCATCGAGTTCGATCCGGACACATTCAGGACTCTGCTGGATTATCTTCACACAGGATCCTGCCCATTAACGTGCAGCAACATACCTGGCCTCATATGCGCGGCTGAACACTACGATCTACCTGAGCTCCTGCAGGCTTGTTTCCACCACGCGAAACAGTTCCTGAGGATCGACGTCGTCTGCGTGATGCTCTGCGCACTGGAGAATTATTACTGGAGATACACGTCAGCGTCGGAGCTGGTGAACATGATCCTCGCCTTCGTCGAGACCAGGGCCTATCAGCTCTTTCAGAGTCCAGGCTTCCTAACCCTGAGCGAATCCATGGTCCAGATGATAATGTGTCGCGGTCTCGAGGTCGTGGAGATAAAGAAGTTCGAGGCGATGTTTGGCTGGGCCAAGCACAGGATCAAGACCAAGTCCTCTAAGGTCGACGCGAAAGTCGAGTTCCAGTGCATAATGGAAAGACTGAGTAGAGATTTGAAACTCTACAGAATAACACCGCAAGAATTGATCAGGGTGAGTTAACGGTACCCTGGAATATCCCAAATTCAAATTTCACCACCAGGACAATTAAAAGCTTGTAACGTATTTTTCTTAAATCGATACCGATAACGAAAAATCCGAGAAGGAACTATCTTCGAGAACCAACTTACGTTACCTTCGGCCGTCCACCCTTCGCTCAGGCCATCCGCAAGCAAGGCGGGCGCCAGCCAATTCCTTTTTCACCCGGGAACTGACGAGCCGGTATGAACTGGGAGTTCGGGTGGGACAGGCCCAACTCCACAAAAATGAGAACTCTGACGGAATCAGATAATGCGATAGCTTAACGGATCCTGTAGATTTTTGAAAACGGGTAAAATCGAGAAACGCAACGGTAGGTGCTGATCTTTGGGGTCGCGTGAAATCAGCAAACGCAACTGGATGCTCGAATGGGAGCGGACGGTTACGTGAATGCGCGTCCGCTCAGGCTGCTAGGTCGAGCTAGAGAGGGTCGCAGTTAGTGACACGCAAATAGTGCGCGATACAGAGAGCAAAGGCTCGAAAATGTAACAGAACGAACCGGAAGTTCGACATCCCTTCACCAAATAATAAATTGGGAGTACTCACCGGAGCTGGTGCAGCTAATCCGCGATGGTCGAAAATTGCATCCAGGAGACACTCGGTTGGGCACTGCACTGCACTTCCCGAACACTCACAGAAAACCCAAGGAATTTCTTGTATATCACGAGAGCTTGCGAGAACAACACGAGCGAGAAGTTGCTACACCGTATAAAAACACAGCTAGAAAAACTATAAACAGAGAGCACGGGAGCGCGAGGCAGTTCGTGACACCTCGGTCGGTGCCCCGAGACAGACTGACTTTGAGAATAGCCAAATTCGAGAACTAATAATTCTGATTGGTCGAGATCCTCATAGCCGATAACTCTTCCACCTCCCTCGAGTCGTCCCTTTAAATCAAACCGAGAGCGTTCCTTAGCGAAAAGTCACGTGACAAGCTTCGTGACGTCCTGGTAGCCATGGTAAAAAACAAAGAAGCCAGTACCTTCCCTATATTCAATTCAAATAACGTCCAACCAAAGAGATAACCCTTAAATATTTTCTTTTAGATCGTTCTACCCACCAAAGCTATTCAGAACGAGAGGATCCTGGAGACCCTGATGTTCCAGGCGAATTCAGGAATCTACCGTAACGTCGACAGCTATCTGGAAGCTTATCAGAAGAGGGTGCAGCAGAATCAAGAGAGTTTCGACTGCGGACTATGAAAGAAAGCGGGATCCCTCTTAGGCGAATAGCGGAGAGGGTCGAATACCATAGGGCTCGAATAAGTCGTAACGTTCGAAGCGCACAATTTATAGAAACGTCATTGGCATTACCATCGAGCGATGCGCTTCTGTCGATAAAATATTTTCAAAAAGCTTCGTCATTCTAATTAAGACATCAACGCGTACATAATCGTCCTGATTATGGCCATTTGAGATAACAGCCATGACAGTTGGCATAAAAATCTGCGAGTAATTTACGTGTACAGTAACCCCGTTCGCTGTGCATCCCGTGTATACATATCTCGTGTGCGAGGAAAGGCATCGGTACACTAGCACTATTTACGGATACGATAAAAGAGAAGAGAGAAGAAAAATATAATAAAAATGTAAAACCGAATGAAAATATTAATCGATGGAAGAAGCATGATTTGATATGGTGACGTCATTGGTGTCGCGTACATTGATGTATTCGAACGCGCGTCTATTGGCTACTCGTTAGACACGCACAGCGCAAGAGGTTGATGGCCCGAGGCGTCCCACGCGCTCAAGAATTAAAAGATGCCGACAGCCATATTTGTCTCTGCGCAAGAGAGTTAAGGACGAGCCCAAGATATTGGCAGTGATTTAATCACTGGGCAATTGCACGTTTGCCATATTTCCTTCGTATCTTTTTATATTTATTTTATTTTCCATTCAAAGAGACAGCAGGCATTCCTGTAGAAATGTTCAATCATCAATTGTCATTCGGCGTATCGGATCTTTGATAGAAAACTCCGATCGTACGTTATATTCTAAATGCGCCACGCACTTTCTCTCTCTGTCTCTCCTTCTCTGTTTCACTTTCTCCATTGTACTAATTACAATCATGAGAAACATGGCGCAACAATGAATGCACAATTTTCGTAGCTTAGCCAATTGAAATTATACAAGAGAATGGCGGATGGAAAAAACATATATAAGGTACAAGAGAACGACGCGTCGTCGGCGTCGCTCTTAGTTAGGCGTCGGAATATATAAATAGAGTGAAAGGTTTAAGACGTAAAGGAAAATTGAATCTGCCAGAACGAATGGTCGGTATGACGTTTGCGACTGATCCTTCCGACTCGTTAGAAGTTCCATTGGATTTTTCAGTTAAATCTTTTCTACTAAAGTGGCGCCACTGATTTTGGTGTGTTAACTATAGTGAAATGACAAAAATTCTCGAAATTTCGTGGTTCCCTGTAATGGATGTTCGGATCTGAGTAAAAGTAACCTGCATGTTCATATTGCAGTGACGATTTTGCTCGGCTGTTTTTTTAGGGAAAAAAAAAAAGAAAATCGAAATTTCTTTAACGAGAAACGAAGTACGGACGGCAATTGAAGGCCGAACATGACAATCTGTATCATAGAGAAATACTAATAATAATGTAACGGTAAAGATTTAATATTTCGTAAGCGTAAATTAAAAAAAGATAAATTAAATATATATATATATATATACATACATATATATATATATACTAATAATGATAACTGAAAGCGTTGATGTTGAATGTGGCGTAAAAGATACGGGGAAAAAAATATTTGAAGTCTGTTCTGTTTTCTATCGTAGATTTTATATCTTCAATACTCTAAGACAGAGATTCTAAAAAAAAAATCCGTGAGGACGTGCCGGAAGATGAACGATTTGTGAAAAAAAAAAAAAAAGAAAAACGATCTTTATAAACGGACACCATATTCGATGCTCGCGCGAAAACAAAAACCTCTTTGTCATTGCTTGTATTTATTGTTTTCGTCTTATATTCGTATTCGATGACGAAAGATGATTCGCGTGTGTTTCATTAATTAGTGTAATAATGGCGAAAAGCAACGTTATGGGTAAACGAGCGAACAAGAGAAACTGTGAGGATGAGTGAATACAGTGGATTTTGCCGAAAAGGATGTTTCCTGTTGTAAAGAGAGATCAACGAGAATAATTGCAAAAGCTTAAAGAAAAAGTATATTCGACCTTATACGAGTAAAAAAAAATCGCAATCAAAATTTCGTTCGCTAATATCGATATCCAGCAAGCACTGTGATATCCGCCTGAGAAAGTTCGCGACGTATGGTCGAAAAGTGAGTAGAAGCAAAAAAAGAAAAACCAAAAAAAAAAAAGAAATATGAGGAAAGTGAATTCGTCACAAGAATACGGGAAAACATATCCGAAATTGCGAAAGAGAGAAGTAAGAGGGAAAGTTGGTAAGGGTAAAAAAAAAATTTCAAAAAAAAAAAATAAAAAAAAAAGAAAACTTAAAAGTTCGATCAACACGTGTCTTTGCAAAATAAATTTTCGAAATGGCTCGTGCACCTTTCACCGAGCGAAATGGGAGCATCCTCTTCGAGAGTCCTTCGAGAACGCCCATTTATCATGAAACATAAAGAGTAGAGAGAAGTTAAACAAAGAAAAAAGAGATAAGACGAAAAAATGTATTCCCGATCGATGCGAGAACGTAAAACTTTCTTTTTTTTTTTCTCAAAAAATCTGAGGAAAATATTTTTTACACGACACGTTGTACTTTCCTCGGCCGCGTGTACTTTGCAGGTACCTACAATATTTTTTAATAGTAATTTCCATCTTATTATCCACACCTCCCCCCCCGGACCTATCCTCCTCGACTGTATATTCCGTTGTTATAAATATAATGGCAACGCCGCGCTATAATAACGTATTTAATAAATAAATAATTGTTGATTCGCCGCGCGTATGTGGGGAATCGTTGAGAGGAAAAACAAAAATGAAAAAAAAAAAAAAAGAAACTGTTAAGTGTCTTATTGTCCACACAAAGGGGCTGGACGAAAGTAGATTTCCAAAAAAAAAAAGAAAAAAAATAATGAACAAGAAAAAAAAAATAAAAAATTTCGAAGTCCCTCGAGTGAAAGTCATCATTTCCGTGATACGCTTAGCCACGTCACGTAACGTTAACGTTCTCGTTCCGACGCTCGCAAAATTTTCTTTTGGCATGCAAAATAAACAGCAAAAATAAAAAAATGGGCGAGAAGGTAAAATATAAAGAAAAAGACGAAACACGTTTTCGTAAGCGCGCGCGAATTACGGCGAGTGTCGAGAGCTCGAAATAATAATAATGAAGAAAAAAAAAATAATACGAAAATAAAAGGGAAAATCAATCGAGAGCTTTCTCCCTTAAAATTCGCATTCTCAATCGTTGTCACTGTACGATCACTTGGGCACTGTCATGCTGTCATTCTACTGTCACTCGCGAATCAGGCGCGGTAGGATAATCGAGAGGCTCGTTAAGGACGTCGTAAGACAAAAGGAAGGGAAAAAAAAGGAGAATAAGAGAAGGAACGAAAACGGATAGCATAAGGATAAAGAGGTACGCTACTACCGGCATTTTGTGCATACCTAACCTGTAAGAGTTACTTAAATGGTATTCATTATTGCATAATGCATACGCATAAAAAACATTATTATTATCGTCCGCATCGTATTCGCTCATTGTTAATGTTCGTTGTCCCACGCGCAAGTGACATATTTCCCGCCGTCATCGATACATCATTGTTGTTGTTGTTGTTGTTGTTACTATTCACAAAGAGTCATACTATTCACTATAACGCCCTGTCCTGCGATCAGAAGCTCCTTTATTCTTGTTATACGCTTACTAATCGTAAATCAAAAAGAGAAGAAAACGTGAAAAAAAAAATCGAAGAAGAGTAATCGCCATCCGCCATCATTGGTGTCACCTAGTATCGTCTGATAAGAAGTGAAAAGAAGAAGAAAAAGAAGAAAAAAAGATTGTAGCACCGCATAGATAAAAGTAAAGATTATTATACATACTACGTTTTAATTAGTCGATAGTCCTTTTTTCATCTGGCGATCTCGATGCGTTCACGTCGATCGAATCAATCGATTATATCTTCGTAATGGTCGCCGTTGATCGGACCGTACGCGATTTTTACGGCCGACTGTACCCACGTGCGGTGGCGTCCCTCGCGCGGGAAATTTCAAATGTCCGCAAGTGACGCGGATTAGTTTGAACGATAATATGTATATGATATAAGTCGAGGGAAGAATTTTGTAACGAGGCGCCGTTAGCGAATCGTGATTATGAAATTGACCTCATTAACTTTTTACCTCGGTTGTACTGGCGCTACTGGTACCACTATTACGATACTACTGCAAGCACTTACTTGACACTAATGCTATAGCTACGTTAAGGCTAATAGAAAATAATGGCGCCATTACTTGCGAGTTTTTGAACAGTCGCAGTCTTGTCGCACTCGCCGGGTAACGACAGAGACACAAAACAGATGCAAAAGAAATGATTATATGAAAGAAAAAAAAAAAAAAAATTTATTGTATATGAAGCTACTGTGATGTTACTGTTGAATATATAAAAAATATATATCTACATATATATGTATATCTATCTATATGCATATGTATATTTGTGTATATATAGATATATATACCGTATGAATATATAAGACGATGTATTTGAATCAATCTGTTTTTTCATTCGATTGATTTTAATTTCTTTTTTTCTTTAAATTATTACCCTTACCTGACGTTCCTGACTGTAATCCTTTTTGTTTGCTGACGATATATCGAGAATAAGCGATATTTTATATAAAATCACATTTATTTACAATTCTACACTTTCAAAGTGGTTTTCCTTTTTTTCTTTCTTCCTGTACAAATCGATGATCGCGAAATAGTACTTACATACACAACTGTAACTTTTAAAAAATCTAGTCACTGTATTAAAACCTTGTTCCTGACCGAACACGCGTGCCTGCTTTTTTAAGTATGAGATAGTCGTCAGCACAGTGTCGGACCAATTGCAAATTTCGAATAATCGATAAAAATGTGTAACCTGGGTGTCGGTTCGTCATGTGAGAGGTAATCGGACAGGCATCGCGCGTGGAGCCAGATACAGTCTTATTAAAACTTAAGAGCACAGATCGCTATTTTATGTACAATTTTGTACAGACGTTAAACGTACGCAGTCACTTCCGGGTATCCTGAAATGAATTATTAAGGTCGATTAGCATCGTCTTATTGTCGTGTTTACGATCGGTTCACCATTTTGCTCGTACACTCCAGTCTTTTGGAGTCCAATGAAGACACTTTGGATCTATTCTGATTTGACGCTTCTCCATGGCCGCTGCGTGTTGTTCAATTATTTCCCTGCGAAAGGAGATGCTGATAAAAATCGAGAGTATATCATGGAGTGATTATCCGAATTTGTCTATTGATTATGTCTCTTTGCGTTGCCGAGGAAGACTTTCAGAAACTATCACTCATTGCGCGACTGATTGTTTGGTGCATAATCGGTTGCTTACCTATTTAGCGTTACGATGTATTGTCCTTTATAGTAGTTTATGAGGTTCAGGTTTTGCAGTGTTGATATCACATCCTCTTTTTTAATTGAGGTCAGTTCGCATATTTCGTTTATCGTTATTTGGGGTTTCTCATTCTCTACTAGTGGCTTCACGTTCAAGAGTATGTCCAGTATTGTGTGCGCCCAGTAACTTCTGTAGGATAGCAGACCCAGATCGGATAATGGCTTCTCCGGAGAGCCAGTCTTACCCTCAAATTTGGACAGTTCATAGGAGAATTCTATTAGGAGCTTTCCGTAACCTTTTCTTTGGTACGGAGGCATTGTGAGGATACAGGCAACATTGTAATCCTCTGTCGACTCCTTCTCCTTGGAAAAGTAACCAACTATGTGAAAACCTCGACTGTCAAAGTCTGTCATTACATAGAAGAGGAAGGGGTCTGTGTCGTAGTAAAGGGTTTTGTGATCCAGGAAGAGCTTGGCCAATAGGCAGAGGTTTTGGGCGTAGTTTTTGTTTTTTCTACCATCTATCTCGAAGAATGATATCGATCCTTTGCGATAGATCTCATTTCCAGGAGGATGACGTAAATTGCACTTTGCCAAATGTCTCTCTAGGCACTTTCGACTTTTTCGGTATTTAAGACAAAACTCGCAAATGTATATGCACGGGAGATTCACCATTTCTTGAGGGTACGGACTAAAGTACCAGGGTTTGATCCTATGTCTTCCAAGTTCAATAAGTTCAATGTTTTTCATTCGGGTCACAACATCATCATGGTGATGTGCCACTAACGATCCTGTAGGTCTTGGGCCAGCCGTTGAATGCAATTGTGGTGGACCATCTTGCGAATCCTCATTTTCAAGAAATGTGCCTTTTCGCTTCCTGGCTATTTTTTTCTGTAAGGCAGCTTGCAGCACAGCGGAACCATTTACTGGTTCACTATTTATATTGTTTGGACTTGGAGGTCTGCTCGGTGCTTGCTTTTTAGGAGTCGCTGCACCAGTCCCTGGCGTTGTACCATCTCGACGCGGATATTGGACTTTACGAGTATCCAAACAGTCCTCAGGTACCCATTCATCCAATCGTTTATTGACTGGAAATTGTCACTGTTAAATCTTAACACTCTCTACTGCATACATTCATCTATGCGATTTGCAACTATACTCACAATCTACATAATGTACGTAATAGCACTTGATGTCACGCACTTCTTTAACGCTGATTATTTCAGCAAGAGCTGCAAAGATTAAATGACATTTGTTAAACGTTCATCACCCTCACTATCGCTAGTAACATAACTGTCGAACAACATAAATTGTACTGTCTAAAAAATGTACGTAACAGGTCACCAAACATAACCTAACCTAACAAACTGTTTATCCTACTTTAATCATCTTAACATTTTCCTAAACAGGGCGTATTTACATTAATAAATTAAACACTTAAAACATTTATTCCCAACAAACATAATGCTGCACTTTTATTGCTAAAAATCATAGTAAACAACACTGACAATTCATTCTACAATGTGTACTGTCAAACATCCAAATGCACCCAGTGCTTATTTTCAGCTGGAAAGATCGTATTAAACGCGGTTTTTCATAAATACATAAAATATGCAATAATAAGATCTTATAATACTCACGCCAGTCTTCTGTGCCGTGCATTCTGACCGGCAAGCGACAGCCTTCCACCAAGGAGTTCTGGAATTGAAGGTTAGGAAATGGTAATAATGATTTATCACTGTTCTGAAGCGGTTTTCATAAAAACCATACAGATCTATTATTACATCCAAAGTAATACTTACCACCGAATCGCATATTGTCTCACGCTCGTCGTGTTCCTCAATCATTTCAGTCAAAATTCTCACGAAAACTGTCACCAAGCATAAGATTGTTTTGATGCGCTCGCAGCACTGACACGAGCGCCACGCCTTGAATTTTGTTGCAACTAAATTTAAAGCCCCAGCACAAATCCAAAATTAAAAAAAATATTTTTCAACAATTATTCCTGTTTACAATTATAGTAAAGTTTCGTGATAATTATCGTTATCTCGCGGACGAGTAAAAAAATCATTAGTCATAGCTTTCAAAGATTCCCACGCGAATTTGACGTTGAGGTAAGTATCCCTATCCAAGTAAACATCATCAGATCTCTATTATGACGGCGTTAAGATGAAGTGAGTATCGCTAAACGAGATCTTTGCGAATAAATCAGGTTAACTTGATGGATGCTGCGTTTCATGTAAAACCTCCTACCATCTTTCCCCGCACACTTGTTGCGGTACTTCAACAAGAGTTACGTAGCGAAGCATATATTACCGTGCCAATGCATAAAATCCACAGTCGCGTGAGTAACCTAATTCATCCATCAATAGATTTCACGTTTCACGAAATTCTAACGATCTTAAATAAAAGAAATTCACTGTTCGTAAATCCCTAATCTAAACAACACAAAATATCATGCACGCAGAAATTTTGACGAAGAAAATGTTAAAGAATCACTAATGACAAATTCCAGAATGAATAAAAACGGTAAAATTGTATTCGCAGTTGAAAAGAGCTTCGGTAAAAGTGTTGTTAGAGGACAAATAAAAGGAGTTACGTGAAAGGAATACACAGAAGCCTTTTCGTTAAAACGAAAAGTTTTAAAAATAATTACAAATCAACCGTACGTCTAGCATCTCGTATCGAAAGGTATTTATAACCTCACTTTGTTAACATTGAAATACAAAGCTAAATAAAAAGCCAAAATTTTCTATAACCACAGCTGCATTCCACGGTGTTTCAGTAAAAACGATTCAAGAATTCATCACCATACGAGTCTGTAACAAAAGTTCGGTATCCCAGAAGTCGAAGCCCACCCGGTATACACGTTCCTGCCATGTATCGTGTTATATGAAGTCTGCACGTGTACATATGTACTCATACATAACTGTACTCACATCGAGCACATAAGGGTTGATAGTGCTCGGGCGAGCAAGCTACCCTTATATGCAAGGGCGTGGCCAAGGTCCACCAATCAGAGAACAGAGAAGCCCCGAAAGCCCAAATCGAAGCAAGTAAAAATTTTAGCGGCCGTGTCAAACGCCACGCGTAAGGGGATCAGCTCGGTTGATCTGGGCTTACATTTTCCTTACTTACCCTCTATTCCCTTCTAGCGAGACTCGCATCCATCGGCTCCGCATTTCACGTCTCACTCCACCTACCCATCAGGAGCCACCCCAGGGCTTTTCTTCGTGGGCGATGTGTATCCACCTTAAATATAACGATACGCTTACCGTTTGGAGTGGAAACGTTACTGACTTCTGCCGAGTCTTTTCATCTTGGCCTGACTTCAATCTATTCTTCGTCCTTCCTCGCCGTGAAAAAGGCTCAATCATTTTCAATCAATCAATTAATCGTTCAGCCTATAGCCGTCGAGAGGCACCATTAGTTCCTAATATTCGCATGGACAATTTTAATTTGGATCTGTAAACTACGCTGATGGATTGACGAAAGGTATGAACATGGAGAACGTTCACTGGGACGACGTCTATATTTTTTATTAATTAGACAAGAGGGTTTACAGGTTAATCAGAGAATAATTTATAATCGAGATTTATTAAGGGTGTATTCTTTAAAAACTCCACTCTTACAATTATGGAAATGTTTATGACTTAATAGAATGATCATTGAAATTTATTAGCGTGCGGTCAATGTTTCAGAAGGGTTGTCGTAACCCTCGGCAAGATGTATAGATATAGCCTGGTAATTTAGCACTGATTTTTACATTAATTATTCCACTAATTTTCAGGGAGCCATGCGACGCCAAGGGGGGGCGTGCGTTTAATAGCCCCTAGTGTTACCTCGGAGGCATACTGCCATTAAGAATCCCACAAGACCATCCCACCTTCCATCCACCCTTCTTCCGCCGACATCTTCAGCGCCACGACATATTACACTACGCCCTGGGTACGTATACATATACCTACCTATGACTATACATTATGTACGTATCTTGGTACACTAAAATCATTAGAAACACGTGTGCCTCACAGGGCGCAGAATCCGGACTTGCCATTACAATGCTTAGATAGTCCTGCCCGGAAATCAATATGATAACAACACGGTATCAACGACCAATCCTGTAAAAGGGGAATGAAATCAGTATCGCCAGGAGCAATATAACTGCCAAGGTATTTATCGTACTTCATAGTTATTCCAAAGTGGATGTTTAAAATTCCTGACAATTAATTACCAAGAAAAGAATGGTCTAATAAATAATTATTACAGTCCATAAGGTATGCAGTCTGATCAACGATACTCTGTAAAGGTATAATGAATATTGGAGATTCTTTTTTCTTTCTTCTGCATATAAGTACAGCAGGTGTTCCATGAGAAAAGTCGTTATTAGAAAAGGGCTTTCAAAATGAAAAGACTACATGTACAATCTTTATCCATCTGCTTTTTGAAATTATGTTGCCCTTCTTACCGCGTGCTGTTCCTATATAAAAGGTTGCTCAAAGGAAAAACGTTTTCCTTGGCGCTGCTTAAAATTCATAAGGCGTTCTGTTTACTTACTAAAGATACGCGCCACGCCACCTTCGTCTCCCGCATACCCTTTTACAGTACCACCAACCTTCTCCCTCTTCCTTCGTCTTCCTTCTTCTCCGTCTCCTCGTTCCATTCCTTTTTCTTCTTCTTATAACCGTACCTGCCTGGCACCTTACTCAAAAGCCGTGCTTTATCGCATAAAATAAAATTATTGCTTGCACTTTTCTCTCCTGGTTGCCAATTCGCCCCTTACACTTATCACCCTCTTCAAATATCCACTTCGGATCCGCCACCTTCAGGCCTGAAGTTGAGGCAGACAGGACTAATAATTTTTTCTTTTCTTTCACCACAGAAAAATAATGGAAAAATCATGGGGAAAAGTGAAAAGAAGTCAGAAACACACGGTACAACGTTGGCTCTGGTAAGTGAATGGAACGAAAAAATTGTTAAAAAAGCTAAAAGATCCAATTACTAATTTTCCCTTTTTACAGGTATGCTCTCCTTGCACTGCTGGTTCACTCGTTTGAGAGTAACGTCGAATAAAGTATATGACCGAGGTTACTATTAACTCATTAGAGAAAGTTCTATGTATTATTATTAAATTCTCTTTGAAACTATCCTGGCACGTACTTAGCCTACGGTACCTGCCGGTAGGGAAGGATGGATAAGGAAGAGGAAGGAAACAAGTGGGACGAATAGAGGAAGAGCAGGATAGACATTGCCAAGTGAGAAGTAAGGTGCGAGTGAACTAAAAACGACAAGGATAGAACAGAGAACTGTGCTTGGGTGCGTATAAGCTAGAGAGCCGGTGTAGTACGTATAGTTATATAATGTACGTATACGTCTGTAGATATCTTTAGACTTATACATGTATGCTCAGCATTGTTTCGAACGGGCTTATATATACATACGTCTATTTGGCACATAGGGAGAGGAGCGTCTTAGAGAAAGCGTGTGGAGAAGGGAAACTGGGAAAGCAGCCATCTTGCCACAAACTTGACTCCACCAATCAGCGTCGAGATGTGGTCACCGTTGTACTCCGAGTTCTCCCAGCCCCTCGGCCATCTTCCAACCCTTTAATTGTAATCAATTTACTCTGGCAAGACTCACGCAAGAAAAGGGGTACCACCTATCCAGTAGTAGGCAGCAACAACGTAACCATCAAGTTCTGCCAGGCCCAACGCGACTATGGCTAAATAATTAGCGCAAGAGATTAATGGGCAAAAGTTAAGCATTGTTAATGATCTTGTTGGCCTGTGCGAAAGAGTGCGTCACCCCTTCCTGATTCGTACTGCTTCTTGTGTAATCCACCCTTTGGGGCTAAAACAAGGAGTATGTATTACAGCAGGTAAAATCATTTTATTATCTACTCGCGCGTATACGTATTTTAATGACGTGATTAGGGACTTACTTTTGATCCTGTTTTACATTTTTAACCAGGTTGATCACCGGGACGCGTGTTCACGTCGTCGCTGTGTCGTCTTGGAGAACCGGATGGATCGGTTGGCTGGTACGTCAGGTTATTTGAAGAATGGAGTATTAACCTGAAACGTATTCAATTCCGAACCTTGTTATAATGAACGGCGCGTGTTCGTGAAACGAGTTTACCACCCTTTAAGAGTTTATAAGCACGACCCCCCTCACCTGGAACGAGTAGGGGTTGCTTAAGGTCTTAAGTTCCTGACTCTGCACCTGCCCATGAAGAACATGTCTCAGCGATGACAGAAAGACGTTTTTGATATTTTTTTTTTCAAAGTCTTGGGCCTTGGTACTCGATTGAACTGTACTCGGTTGTCATGGCACTTTTTTTGGGGGAAAACAATTACTTTTCTTTTCAAGATTTGCAAAGGGAGAGACTGGTGTACGTCTTCGGTCGATCAGGTGAATCATTCCTCAATATTTATTCAAATTTCTGGTTTGGGGTAGTCGTGTTTAATCATTTTTCGTTGCTTCGTCGGCTGGTTAGGGGATGGCGGAATGGATTGGACGTTATCAGAAAGAGGAATAACGTACAATGGGAAAACAAGTGGTGTCCAAAGTCCTAATGATGTCGTTTGTTACTTCTTGAATTAACGTGACAATCAAGTGAGTATATTTCCCTTACGTTCACGAGGTAATAAATCCTCTGGTATATACAAAAGTAAAACATACAATTCCACATAACGTACATTAATTTTTGCACTTTTAGGTAATCCGCCATGGCATCTCCCTAATATTTTCGGAAGCCACGTAAAATCGTGCACGAGGAAATCTGCCAATTGGATCGAATCGAAGGGACGTTTGCGGAGGAGAATAAAAGGAAGAAGCGATACAGTGAAATTATAAATTTGGAAAAAACGCAGCGGATGAAACAGCGTTAAGAAAACATAAAGAGATTAAAGAGTGAGAAAGCGCGCGACGCTCTTAATTCGCATGAGATACTTGATAAAGCAAATGAATACAAGGTACTCCGAAATGCTGGTGGTAAGGGAGTGAAAGGAGGAGGAGGAGGTCGTAGGCGGATGACGACGGCGATGGTGGTAGTTGGCGGCTGTTGAAGAAGGGGTGGAAAATACGGGGGTGGAGGATACGAGTACGAGAGAGAGAGAGAGAGAAGGAAGATGGCCGATCCTTTTTATAAGGGAGATCTCACTGCAGACGGGAGTCGAGTGGTTTTGAAGCTAATAAAAAAATTACCCCGCCGTATAAAACTCGACGATGTATAAAACGTTGCTGCGACATTCACCCCCAGTCGGGCGGCACCGCCGTACCCAGGGCGCGTTTCAAAAAAAGAAAAAAAAAAATCGCAACTCCTTTGTCCTTTCGAGTTCGCCCTCGACGCTCGGCCGCCAAATTGAAAACGCGTTGGTGGACGCGAACAATGTTTCCGACGTAGACGTCGATATTGCTCTTTTTTTTATTTTCTCCCGTTTTCGATCTCCATCCCTTGCGTTCATTTTTTCTACTGTACATCAACTTATACCTAATTGCATTCAACATTCTTTGAAATGTAAAAGTACCGCGATACAGTTGTTACCTGGTAAATATTCAAAGTAGAATCGGCTTCCTCTGTGAAATCTGTGTATAATTTTTGTTAGATAAAAAAATACCCAGTGGATGAGTACTATATATATATATATATAAATTCCAGAAAAACAAAATCCTATGATATCGCAACGTCTATGGCATTTTCATAAGAAGAGTCAATGGGAGGAAGTTAGGCGCTGGATTTCTGAAAAAAAAAAGTCAAAACCGAAGTTTTCAAGGACAGAAATGTCGATGGGTAAAGTAAACGACACGCAATGATCTTAATTAGTAATATAAAAAAATATTGACCAACATCGCGAAGAAATGTTTTTTCGAAATTTTCAAGGGGGTGAAACCCGCCGCTGTCAGTGGAAAAGGCTCTTGACCGAACGCGATGGAAAAAAGAAAAATAAATTCCAAGCAGTGGAGTGTCGCTGCCAGAGTGCAGCGAGGGTTGCGCGCGCACGCGATAGGCACCAGGTAAATTCAAAACCCGAGATTCTTCATCCCTCCCGTCGGAAATACACCCCCGGTGCTAATTAAAACCACACCACGTGTCTTTCCATGCCATGGGTACGAAAAATAAATGGGAAAAGATCTTTTCAGCGACCTCTCTCTCTCTCTCTCTCTCTCTCTCATTAATTCTCTCACCCGTTTCCAACCACTCTTTTACTGATCCAGCCACTCCACCCCCCTGTCGCCCCTCCTCGTCATCGCTCAACGGATCTGTCTCTCTTGGTCTGCTCCTTCTCTCGACCCCCCTCCTGCACCCCATACCGGCTTAATTATCGTCCAAGTGTTCTTTAAAGAGCGAATTACACGCTCGATGTTTACTGCGCGCTCGAAGCCTTTTCACTTCCAGGCCCGAGCCTCTCCTCGAAGAGAGACCAGCGCGACTGACTGCCTGTTTTTCTTTTACGCCTCGAAGACTTTTTTTCCTTCAGCAATTTTTCCTAGCCGCTCACGGGGTAGACGGGGCAGACCGTGCAGACGGTGTAAACGTCGACGATGGCCTCCTGGGTTCTCCGTGCTGCGACGGCAGCCGCCTCCGAACCCTCCGCTAACCTAACCTAACCTAACCTAACCTAACCTAACCTAACCCACCCGCAAGAATCCCCGGCAAACCATCCAACCGCACAGCCGTACGTCCCGTTCCACTAATTTTTACCCCAGTTCGCGTTAAAACCACATCGCCATTTCTATCGCGGTTCAGAGCCTTTTTTTTTTTTTATTTTTCTTCAAGGACCTTCGCTCGGTCCGCGCGATAATCGCGAAGCGATGCCCCTGCGCACGTGGTCGTGATATCGTCGATGGGGATTGGTGAACTTTTCAGGGTACCGGAAGGGGGCTGATTGGTGTCAGGTATTCAGGAGTCCACTTAGTTCGCTCGATCCCGTGACTTTTTATTTTTACTACAGGTAGCGCTGGATTCGTGGACTCTTCACGGGACTTCGAAGTTGGTAAGGTGGAATCTGTCTTTTTTTTTGCAATATGGCGGTTTAGCTTGTGATTCTTTTTTTCTATTTCAAATCGGAACGTTGGCCCCCCAGCGAATTCTTACTTTTGGTCTGACGGAATCGTGCGACTTCGGGTATGGGGACAGGAGGGGGTGGAACCATAGCGCGACTTTCCAATAAAGTTTCAGGCCGACGAGTCACTTCTTGCAGGAAGGTTGGGATACGAGGTTAGGTTAGGTGTGACGATTCAGGCCAATGTTTTTCCATTCGATTTTCCACCATTTCCCGAAGCATCAGGGGGATACCCCCTCCCAACCCAACCCCCCGGAATTTTCGGTCTTCCGTACCCGTCAGACGTTACTTCGAAAGCGGACCCCAGGGCCGTGCCTATAACCTCCCTTGGGCATCCCCTAGGCTACGGGGGTGCCTTACAAGAATGGTAGATAGAGCTTCAGGCAGGCGGAGTGAGGTAGTAACGGCCACAAGTCCAAACCCCCGTAAGAGGGTTTTCCCTCTGATATATTACCTCTCCGGCAACCCTCACGCGCCCTAAACCATCCCTTATTGCCGCCATCTTGAAGGACTCACCTCCCCCCCTGGTCGCCCGCCCACGATCGAAAATCCCGTTAGAGTTATACGGGCTTAGCGTCCATTTTGACAAGGGCTGCTACCGCTGCACCCCATTTCTCTCCATCTCTACCTTGGCGCTCCTCTACAGCCCTCAACCCCCCCCGCCCCTCTCCCGCGCCACCCTAAAATCACCCTAAAACCATACCCTGCACGCTGCTACCCCTCGAGTACCTACCACCCCCCCTTGGGTTACAAGGCTACCCACCAGAATTCCCAAGAACTTTCACGGGGGTGTTTCTAGCTATTTCTGGAATTCGAAAAGGGACGCGCAACCAGGAATCAACCCCCATACGCAACCACCCCCCTTTACATCCCCTCTAACGCGTAACAAGAAACCTCCACGTATCTAACCGTCTAATGCGTCTCTCTCTAAGCCAACCCCTCAATCCTTGAGACTCCTCGCCCCGCGGAGAACAGCAAACTGCATTTTTCGGAGGTCCCGCGTGCTCCGGATTTTCTCCCATGATGCTCCACTCCCGCATTCTAGAAGGTTGTCGGGGGATTTGATTATGCAAAGCGACCCTCGCCGTTCCTATTTCTTCCTCGCTGGGACACGTACCGAATAGGTACCGAATGTACCCTTCGACGACAGCTCAGGAACGTCGATGGACCCGGACCCCGTATCTCCTCGAGTAGATGATCGTTACGTACACCCAGCCCAACCTGGCGGAATGTTCTATTCTCAATCTTCATCCAGCGAGGGAGGTTCGCGGTGAGAGTTTTCGGACTGAAATTCAAAAAAGTACAGTGTTGAGTATTTTTAATATATATATATATATATATATATTTTTCACGTCGATTTAATGACGTCACGCGGTAAGGACGACAATTCAAGTTACGAGGGGTCAGATGGGTAACTTCGCGAAATGGAGGATATACCGAAAGTTCCTATGTGCGTTTACCCTTTATTTTTTAAGGGTCCTTTTTTTTATCATCCCTTAACTATATACACGTACCCAATAGGCAGTACCTCCCTGTCAGCTTATGGCACTCGATTTGAATACTGTCGATTTTCAATTGTTGCGGATCGGAGCGCGGCGAAGAAGAAAAAAAAGAAAAAAGGAAACGTATATAATTTGGGTCCCCCGGCAGCTGCGTGGGTCCCAGATATGCAAAGGAGGGTGCAAGGGAATTAGAATATCCTCGCGGTCTCATTTGAATTTCAATCTCGCGCTACGGATTTTCGGGGTTCCCTTCGCCTTCCTACCAAACCCCCCGAAGCTCTCAGGTAACCAAAGGGTTACGAAAATATGGCGACCATTAAAATCTGGCCTACCTGGAACTTTAGGCCTGCGCTCGTCTCATTAGAGCCGCGTTAAACATTCAATCCGGGCCTCGCATATTGGGACTCTTTAGTTGTACCTACGATGCCCACGTGGTGCAGTTGGGCCTTACTGAATTTCTGGGCCAGACCAGCCACCAGATATTTGGTTGGTAAGTCTCAATTTGAATTGAACCTCCGTTAAGTGGGGCCCAAAATGGCCGTTACTGGTTACCAGAAATTATTTTTATAATTTTTTTTTTTCAAATTTATCGAAATTTGGTTGGATTTCATGTCGGGTAATCTTTTCTCTATACTCGTGCTAATTTCTCGTCGTAGTGTCTGCCAACTTTGAATATTTCAGTTTCTGTCTGATCCGCATCTAATGCAAATTATACACGCGGCAAGGCCCCGTATCTTGTAACACTGAATTCTCCTCGTTCTGTATATACATATATATGTTATGTGTGTACACCTCTGCAAATTTTCCTATCCATATCGCGTAACGCACACTGGATAAGACGGGAAGCCATAGCCCGGGGCCTTTCCTTCTCTGCGAAGCGTTTCTATAGCGTTTCAGGCGGGTACAGTCGGATCCAGAGAAAACATTGATGCTGGGAACCCATCCTTGTTTTTCTTGAAATAACTCGATTTTTCACCAGGATCAAAAATTTCAGATAAATTCACCAGTTCCGTTTTATATGACAACGAGCGTTTTTCGGATCAACGGATTTTAGTGATATAAATTTTCCAAAATTCTACAACTGTCAGGTATTTTTTGTAAAATATTTGTATTGTTTACAAAGCGAGTCTGACGTCATGCAATCGTCACGGCTGACTTTGTACGAAAATTGAATATTATTAATCGAGGATTTCCATGTGCACGTGAATAATAATTTTTCTCAAAATTCCAAATGGAGGTTAATAATCTCGTGACGTCATCTTTCTCAGTAGT